AAACCCGCTTGGATGCAGTCCTGTGCCACGTGCTCTAGGTGACCCTGCGTATGCAGGGGGGTTGGACTAGATGATCTCTAGAGGTCCCTTCCAACCCTAAGCATTCTATGATTCTATGATTCTATGATTCTATGAACTGATTCTTAAGATTAATCCTATTAGAAAAGTTTGGCTTTATTCCTCTCACGCAGGAACATAACACACAACTCTGAGGTTCAGAACAGACTATCCTGTTAATGAACAGTGAAATGTCAAGTTGCAGTGCCTCACTGGTCATTAAAAGCCCACATGAATGTGACATAGTACTGGAAGTGATTGGGAGAGTTCTCAGTGCAACTCCCTGTGCCACCTTCACATGTTATAAACTGCCTTTCTGTTACTGATGCTCTACTGCCTGCATGCTAAAGGTTTGTGCCAGCACACAATAAAACCTTGCTGCATAACCTGTGTTTTACTTGCATGAAAGATCTTCATATATGACTTGCATGGATACAGCTGAGAAAAAAAAAATCATAACTCAGATGCTGGCTACATGGAGGCCAAAGGAAGTTGGACATATGGCTGGACTTGATGACCTTGAAGGTCTCTTCCAACCACAGTGATTCTAAGTGTTAGGTCCTAGGCTCTATGACACCACACAGAATGATCACACTGCTGTAAGAAAAAAACAGATTCCTATCGTATATGCTACAAAATCTGGCCTCACCGCACAGTTGCTCTGTGCATATGAGTGAGTTTGATTTACTGTGCACTTCACAGTGGGTGAACGTGTGGTGTAGGAGGAAGAGGCTTTCCAAAACATGCATTATTGTTCCTACATGTTAATTCAGCAGAATTCAGCCAAAATCTTGCTAAATCACAGCAATGATATGAACTTGTCTGTATGGCTGTTTGAAAGAAGTAGGTCTTCATATTAAAAACAAAAAAACTAAAATACCATAAGTTTTCAGTTGATAACTTCGCTTTTCTTCTTCCTTTTTTTTTTTCTTAGAAACATTTTTAGAAACAAAGGAAAATTTTCAGTGGTGGCATTTAAAGTATCGAAATCAAAACTCAATATCTGCTATGTTCTAACAGTCTGAAAAATCACTCGACACTTAGTACAAGACTTCATATGCTAAAAAGAAAATAATGTATGCTTAAACATACCAAACACTCCTTTCCCTGTATTTTTTCTTGAAAATGGGTCGCTTTCATCCTAAAAAAGCTTGCATCTTGGAGAAGTCGAATTGCAGAGAAAGCCAAAGCAACACTGTGATATAGAACAATATTTAAAAAGATATATTATATTTGGCATTTTCTGATTTCATCGTAATAGACATTTCACTCCTGAATACAAGTCAGCACCTCTCCATTGGTTTTTGCTTCTATAAGAACAAAAAGAAACTGCACATCAAGCACACTGTGAATTTGCAGGCATTGCATGTGAAAGTGAGAACAGGGCAGCAAGAGACAATGTCCTGCCAAGAACAGCCACAGCCTGATAATAATGCCTAAGCCAGGACACGGGAGCTTCAGTGGGGAGTGCACCCTCACTTTCAAGGACATGTCTTTCTTCAGGGTGGGCTTTACAAATCAGAAGATGCAGAAATACTAAAAAGGACAATATATACTTGGAGAGTTCTGTACCTCATCCAAAACCAAAGTAGTAAGAGAACACCCTCCTCCTTACAGCCTTTCCAGGTTATATGCTAAGCTTTTTATTAAATCTCAGTGACTTAACTCTTACAGGAGCTTAGTAAGCACCATCATCTCAAAACTGGACTAGCTGGAAATGACATGATATTGGGTCTGCCCCGCTTTTGCTCTCACCATCATAAATTCTATCTCCAAACAGCATCTGGATTGATACACACATTATTAGGGCCAGTACAATACCAAACTCTATCCTATATTTTCAAAAATTGTGAGTTGGGACCCCCAAATTTTGACGTATTTCTTAAAATACTAACTACTAGGCTATTTTTCTTTTACATGCTATCTTTTTAAAACTTTCAGATACCCCATTCAATTTTCATTATACACAAACAATGTATAGCCCTGACACAAGACTTTGTGAAAAAAAAAATATTTTTTTCAGGATATGAAGACATTTGTGAAACCAACTGGGAAAATCTTTTATAACAGGATTTGTTGCCTATAGAACATGTGCTCAGAGTGTTCTGAGAAGAACTGCAGAGCTAATGTCTCATGGGTATCAGTTTTCAATCTCTGGGTTTTTCCCTAATGTAAATGTCTACTTTCTGCTTCTTCTCTAAAAGATTTTGGTTTCTTGCAATACTGCTTATTCTCTACCCACTGAAGCATGATGCAAAAGTACCTGAAATCGCCCCTAGCTCAATTGTAAAAGATATATATTTTTTAATTTCTTAAAATTTAAAACCCGGAGGCTAATCTATGCTGAAGTCTCACTTTAGAAAGGTCTGCCCGCTTTGAAGTAAAAGAATAACATGACTTATGGACACCTTGAGTCCCTTTCGCACTGCCAAAGTAACATAAAGAGCCTTTACAGCAGGAGTCATGCAGACCCTGTAAGAATTTACTGCTTTTAAGAAGTGCTAGATTAGTTGTCCTACAGTTCTTGATCTATATATTGAAATGACAGAACAAGAGCTGCATTACTCTAAAGTTACTCACATTATTGTGCCAACATATCTTTACATACGGGATGGATAACCTCTACAGATAAGAGGGAAGTTAAAGTCTTCCTGCCATTTCTGATTCTGTCCTGTTTGCTGTTCTTGTGAGGCAGAATTAGATGGATTATACCAATTCTGCACAAATAAACCCCAAAGTAACAAGGAGTACCAAAAGAATTAATATCTTGCCTTTCAGCTCTTGGAATTTAATTTATGACTCACTTTCATCATCCCTTTAGCTCAGTTTTAGTCAACAAAATAATATCAAAATAAATCAGTGTTGAATTTGGTGCTAACCTTCTCTCTAACAATCTAAAAGACTACAACTTGGCTTATAAAAGCAAAATGCACAGTAGGTGTATTCCAATGAAATATCCTATCTGCTTGCTTTTTATAAAGGAGCGTTTTCCTCTGAAACAAGGCATCGGACTAAAAACTACAGCAAAACATGACATTTTTCAAAATCTTGTTTGAGGTGCCGTGGCTAACACTTCTCAGGTGAGATGCAGAAGGTGCAGCACCAAAGGATATATACTGACTTTGAAGAATATTAACCCAGCTTCCTGAATGCCACTGCCTCCACTTAACTTCTATTGTCAGCACTGAGCAATACTGAAAATGAGGCCACTTTTACATACATGCTTACCTATAAATTTCACCAGTAAAATGTAGACCACAAGCTCAAATGTGTAAATATATATATAGCTTTAAGCACTAATAACACAAGCAGACAAGCATGTATTTGGCTAATTAGACATCTCATATATTTAGGATGGACAAATATGTCAGTAGTCTCATTGAGATCAATGGAATTATTCCTGTAAGTAAAATTATTCTCGGGCTTTTTTTTCTTTTTTTCTGCAGGACAGAGGCTGTAATGTAGGAGTATCCCTTGATGAAATTTTTGTGACTTTTTTTTTCTTGCTGTCAACAAGAATGATGTGTCTATATATTTCCCTTGAAAAAACACACATCCTTTTATCAGCTGAATCAGAAAGTGACAAGATGATCAAAATTGGAAAGCACAGCTGACTATAACAATTTCACCACTAAGTCATTTTGCCAAAGGAAAAAAAGATGAATTTCTGTAATATCATGCAAAGTTTGATTTCCAGGCTGGCAGGCAGGAAACATTCAGCTGTCTGAAGGAATGTTTCATTTGTTTCTCAGGCAAATATATCAGCAGTTTCCATGGATGGCAATGCAATAAAATTGCAAAACAGGGAGGAAAAGAAAAACAAACTCATGCTTTTGTTTTGTTTTGTTTTTCCTGCTACCTGAACACTTCCAATATAGAAGGCCCATTATAGACACATCAAAAATTTGTGAGTCCCCAAAAACAATCCATAAAATTCCTGACATTCATAGGAACCCTTGATACTATATAAAAGTTTCTTCAGTCTGAGACAAGGTATAAGCCAAGCAAGAAGCCACACTGCACAGCAACAGCACTGAAAACTGAACTGTTAGGAAATGGCTACCTTTTAAAATAATATAAAGAAAATAGAGGAAAGATGATGTTGCAGTACTTTTTCATGATTTTGGTTCACTGATCTATACAGCTGCTATTTTTGTATTTTTTTTTTCTATTCCAGTCACATAGCATCTAAAAAGGAACTGTGAAACTTCAATACTATCCGATTTAGAACCTTGTTTATTCCCTTACATAGGTAGCTGGGAGAAGGAGAAGTAGGCCAATTTGCAACACAGAAGAAAACATTTAGCTTTCGTTAATTGAGTAAAAAGTTAACAACTCTTTTACCCTCAAAAACTTTTCAATTTTAAGAAAAAATGGATTAAAAAGAGCTGAACAGTATTAAAGAATATTTATTGTTAAAACTATTATCCTTCTTCTACAAGTTAACATAAAATACATAATACTTAATATAAAATAGGAAAATAGTTCTCCTAGATAAAAAACAAATCGATATTCGGAAAGTAACATCTGCAAAGAGTTTCTATATTTGTGCATTCTCCATGCACTTAAAGAACTACTCAATTATGATTTCATGAAGTCCTTTCATAGGAAGTAAGAACCTTAGAAAACATCAGATTTTGGAAATGATAACTCAGAGGATATACCTGGCAGATCATATGAATACAGTGATATTCCACATCCTATTATTCACAGTCTTCCATATCCCAAATTGTAGAAGGAACATTTGATCACATCTTTTACCTGAAAGCTGCTTGATGGCTTTGCTGAGAAATAGCTGCAAGTTGAAGCTTGGCCTCAATAACAACCTCTAATTCCTCAGCAGAACAACAAGAAATCTTCCCATCGTGTTTGTCCTGTATGCTCTGCACAAGACACTTAAGATTGTCTTCAGCTTCTGTCAGTAAGATCCCCTACAGAAGAATATAGCATCATATGATTTCAAAAAATAATACAGGAAAAGGAAAATTTCTATAAAATTTCTAAAAACATATTTTAGTCTGTTATGCCCTACTACCACCACATCTTGAAATAAATCAGCTTGAATACAATACACCTTTTCTATGAGTAGTGGCAGGGGAGTTAATTTTGATTTTCGCAGGTTTATAAATTCAACATGTTGAATCTAGCAACATCTTTACTGTGCCTTTTTATTATTGCAATTTATGCTTTACTACATTATGCATTGCAAAAAGAGTATTTTGTGGCTTAGCAACATTACGTTAGCAACACATTTTTTCATTCCCATCTCTCATAGCTATACCTGGTAACATTATACTACACTTTTTATATCAGTGATTTAAATAACAAAATTTAAAATAAATATCAAATATGTTGCAAGAAGTGCTATGTTCTTTTCTGACTATATTTTGACATAATCCTTGAGTGCAGAGGGCATCCATGTTCAGCTGCCCATCCCAAGCATAATATACAGTTTCTCTGACCAACAAAACAGCAAGAATCTGAGAAAGCCAAAACCAAATCCAACAGAAAGTTCAATTTTAAATAAAAGCCCAATCATGGAGCACTCAGAATTTAAAAATAATTCAAAGATTTGTATCATCTAATATCTTTTTGGTCTGTTTCCTCAATGAATCCTGAGCTCACTTAAAAAAATAGAGTGGTAAAGGCGTTAGAAAGAGTTGGAAGGATTAGAAATATATTATCCTCCTTAAGAAGGACCCATTCCAATTGATTTAAATTTTCTATTATTTAAGTTATTTTCACACTATACCAGAACTTTCTAGCCTTTAGCCTTTAGCAATTGCCAAATAAATTCATTCCCCTTTTCCAAATGGATTTTATACATTAATTTATCTATAACAATGACCAGAAGAGATGCTTCCAAAGTGAAAGTCCTCAAGAAAGTATTTAACTTATCATGATTTGAAATGGTTAAGCAGGAAGTTTAAATTAAAAAAATAAACAAACCAAAACTTTTCAGAAACCAAACAAGCTGTGATATAGGGTTTTTTTTTCCCAAATAAAATGTTCTGAAAGAAAAGGATGACAAATTTGAAAGCATGGTACAACTAGCATACGTAATACATAATCTTTTTTCCACACTTATTGCTCTGTTCTTTATCTTTTCCACTAAGTTGGCTACCTTCAAGAAGGTGGCATGTACTGTAAAAGCATGTCAGAGTTCACTACTTTTCTGTGATAATCTCAGCAATATCTTTTTTACTAAGCATATTCCTGACGATGCATTTTTTTCAAGGTATAGAACAAACTAATTGAATGATTTGCTCATAAAACATTTCGGGTATGGTACAGAATTCATTTCTATTTAATCATACAAATACTGGCCTATTGAAATGTCTAAATTGTTCTATCAGGGCCGTCTCTGAAAGTAGATGATTTTATTCTTCAAATTTGATTCAGTTTTACCCTTGTTGCTGAAAGAGTCATTCTGTCATCTGTTTGTGACAATATATCTCACAGATATTTACATAGCATACACCTGGCTGTAACCACTGTATTTGAAAGACTTCAGCTATGGCTAGTAAGATTAGAATCAGATTAGAGTTTTTTAGGGAGCTTGCCTTCCTCCCACCATAATTTCTATTACATCAAAAACATCTGACATGTTACCAGAACAGTCAACAATTTTTAAAATCACTTTTTTCCCTAAATAACAACATTACCTTTAGCATGGCCATGTTTAATTCACCTTTACAGTCAACTAGCTGCATCATTGTGCCTCTTGGTTCTCGTTTTCTTGAATTCTTGCTAGCATTGACTGTAAAATACATTTCAAGTGAAAATTCAGATAACAGAAGGAGAACCAAAACATTTTCAGTCATTTGAAGAACACACATACTTTTTCTCTCTTTATCTTTGGGACTCTCAATCTCAAAATAAGCAAACAAGAACAGAAGGCAGATCCGATATGAGATATTAGAGAAAAAAAAAACTGCTCATTTTTTCAATAATGACTTTTTTTTCAGCAACATTTCATATGAGTATTGTTTAACATGTGACAAATGAGTGAATATATAGTTGTTAAAAGTCATACATAGTTATTAAAAGTGAGAGCCTTACACATCAAACAAGTTGCAGAATAAACTCACTGTTTTACCATCATTACAAATTACCTTTGGTAGTTGACATCATAATTCTTCTTGGCCTCCTCAAACTTCTGTTATCAATAGAATAGATGCATTTTTCCACTTTCTCAGGTATATCATTTATTGTGGCAGAAAGAGCAATAACGAAATGCATTTTGGCTAAGGTTAATTTATTCATAATTTGTTGGTTGCACAGTGGAACAACTGCTAAAGACAGACTCCAGTTAAATATGTCTTCCAATACCTACAACGAAGTTGGAATTAGTTTGAAATGATATATATTATTGTTGTTCAAAGCATATTTTACTTCTATTAATAATGATGTTTATCAACATACAATAAACATTTGTTTACTTGTTAGTAATATGCCCTTAGTCATTACGCAGGAGTTTCTATTTTCCTCTCCAAACAACCCCCTAGTAAAACTTGCTAGACCCTCAGTGATCACTTCTCCAGTAGAAGATACATCTATGATATTATAGCTATTCCTCTGTGTGGATTTTAGTTCTTTGCTTTGTCTATTCCTAAAAAAGATAGGCAGGTAAATCTGTAATTCAGAAACTGCAATTCAAAACAAGCTCTGTTTCTAAAACTGATCCAAGCTAGAAAGATTAACAAGGAGAAAACTTCCTCTGCCACATCATTCAAGCATATTTCACAACATCTGTTCATTAATTATTATTCCATTCCTCCTTGATCCTGAGTTATATTAATAATAATATCTCTTATCAATAGATAAGAGATAGAAAGAGATAACAACAGTAATAAATTTAGAAGTAGAAAATCTAAATCACTTTCTAAAATCATGTTTATTCAAATTACAAGTTCAACCACAACATTTACTCCTACTATATTAATGGCACTCGGCAAAGCAAGAGAGGAAAATCAAAAATTAAAAAGAAAAACAAAAGAAATGGTGAACATGCAGTTGACTAAAATGTCTGGTTTACAGATTCCCTGCTTTTTTAAAAATGAATTTCAGCCCCTGTCTGAATTAGGACAGACATATGAATAAAGCCCTGACTGACAGAAATAATAAGGCTAGATGGAGTTCTTGGTGTTTTAAGCATAATGTATAAACACCAGACCCTACATAGCATGATGAAGCCCAAGTTTACTAGCATGCTTTGTTCAGACAAATCATACATTTACACATAGCAACTTTCCCATCTGAAAAATGTCTTCTCCCTTAAGAGCTAGGACACAAAACTGAATATTTACAAAATAGTAAATGAAATATTGTTGAGGGGGAAACACTGTTTTCTATTTGCTCCTTTTTACCAGTAACAAGTATATTTTCTAAATGAAATCTCTAACAGTTGCAAGGTAGATAAATTCCTGTGAGATAGATACTTCTATCTGGCATTAAAAAATTTGCTCTTGCAGGATGTTCTTTTTAGTGTTTCTTACCTGTAAATTTGTAACAACCAGGAGAGATTTTGAGGTGTCAAATCTCTGAGAGACCTGTACAAGGGACAAAACCCCAAATATATAGCATATAATAATGAGCAAAAAATGGAACAAGTGAGATAACAGAGCAGTGTGACTGAACAACGAAGGGAAATTTGTGTTGTTATCAAAAAGAGGTGGGAATACATGCTTTTTTTAACAATATGTAATGACTTTCAGATTTGGGATTTTTGCAGTTTTATGAGGAGAAGCAAGTGCTGCAGCTCAAGGATATAGTTTCATAATTTTTACCTTCTGTTGCTCCGTTGGCCTGTAGCCTGCAGGTAATTTCCATGGAATTTTTTCACCACAATTAAGCAAAGACAGTTCATTAAAGGCCTCTGTAAAAAATCCTATATCTGTAAGTACTTTAATCTATGAAAAAATAAGAGATGCTTCAATTTATTTTCAGTTACATTTTTTGCTCAAAATGTAATGTATTAACAGATAATCTTCCATAGAGCTTTAAAACATTTATTTTGCAGTTCATATTAGGGACATAAATACAAAGAAATATCAGACTAACTATTAGATTAACTTAATAAAAAAGTGAAAAGCTTATTTCAAATATGATGTATTGTGTTAATCAGAACGTTTTCTTGGACTACCTTCAAGATTCTTCCTTCAATACATTTAGCTGGGTCCCGACAAATCTCAGAAACAAAGTATTCATACAACGTGAACAGTGGTAAGATCTGTAGGAAAATATCAAGCGTCCTAGTCATAAATGTCATAATATATATAATTACATGTATGTTGCAATTATGTCACGAATATGGAAATAATATAGTAGTTCTGCTTTCACTGACGCAAGGCAGGATACCCTCACTACTTATTTTATGTTCTAGAAGAATGAACATCTTAAAATGTTCTTCACCTGGCTAATCTAGCCCCTCATTCTTTAGTACTATATTCTAAATGATTCAAAGAGTAGAATGTAAAGTTATCCTCTCCAATTATTCTCTCAGTTCATATACCATACATTTTATTTACTATTGCTTTGATCACAGGACTTTAGGAAAAGCAGATTCTTTCCTAACAGAATGCATTTATTTATTGAAATGGAAAGAACTTCTAAAATGTAATTAGTGTTCAGCTTATACATTTTGCTTCATTTTAACATGCTCCTCAGCTCAGAACAAGAAACCTTACTGTTACTTCCTTGTCGAATGTATTTTGGTTTTTTATAAAGTTGCTTAGTATTTCAGAATTTGGATTAGAGGTGCTTAAGAGAAATGTCTTAATTGTACAGACTGAGTTTCCAATCCAAATTTGAAGCACTTACAGAAGAAAAGTTTTTTTGAAGTCTTGTTTAATAAGTCTTGAATCTTTATGCATTTGGATTTGACTTAAAGCATCACATCAGCTTAGTGTCTGCCATCCAAAACATTCCTCAACATACACACTGAATATCAGTGGAAATGAAGCTCTCTTCTTGCTGAAATTGTAACTGCATTGACTATGATCTGTGACTTGGTTCTATATATTCTGTTGGTACAAGTGCATGTTATGTAGAGCTGGCAGTCAAATTAAGTGTCCCAGCCTCCAGTTAACTGTTCACTCCTTGACCTTCCATAGAGAGGGCAATTAGGCAAAGCTCAGTAACAAAGTGTACTCCAGGAAAACAGGATGGAAAGGAGCCACATCAGTCTATAAGACAGAGAGAATTCCTGAAGTTCCAGAAGAAACTCAACTGTCTTGCTGACAAAAAAAAAAAGAAGTAAAGACCTTCTTTACTAACCAGTGTCTCATGACACTGCTGCCAGCCAAAATATCCTGTCCCTTTTCTTGTTCTAGTTGTGCCACTTGGAGTATCTTTCCATAGTCAGATTCAACTCAACAAGGAACCAAAAAAAAGCTATCCAGTTTTTCTGCTGAGGAGTTCTCTGTCAAGCAGGGAGTTGGGGAATTCCAACAGCTACCTGATACGGTGTAAGAAAATCTACCGGAGCAGATGGGACCAAACAGATTGATATGTGGAACTGCTCCTTTTCAGTACTAGTAAGGTAGTATCTATGTATTCCAGGCACAGCACTACACCTTTGGAGGAAGCTGGATTACACTGCAAGAGGTGTGTCTTTAAATGGAAGAATGGTTATATGAACGAAGGTTATATGAAAGAAGCTGTAAAAAGAATCCATACAGAGATATGAGAAGGATAGTTGTGTGTGAGAAGGATTTATTTTTACAGAATGTGAAATAAAATTGTTGAAAACATTCTGGATATACTGCATTTAAAGTAATTATGTGTACCATATATTAAAACTGTATGTAATAGAGAATTTCCCCAAAAATGCCTAGGAAAGTCATGTGGACCATGCATTGTTATCTTCCTGAATAAATAAGTACCCTATATGTACTGAAAATTTTAGGTATCAAGCTCAAGCTGTGCCTTTTATCGCCCTCAGTGCTGCAAAACACAACCATGTAAGTATTACACGAGAGCTTAGATTGTTTCATAAGTATATTCAATATAAAAAATAAGACTTGATGTCTTATAATTCACTTCCACTTTTTAAAAAATGTACTTACTGTCAAGTTTTGTTTTGCACAATGTAATTCAAACATAAGGAAATTCAGACTTGCAATTACAGTGGAGATATCAGCTCTGTAGCGATCAGAGAATAAGTCGATACCAGGAATAAGCATATTTATTTCATATTGTGCATAGTCACAGTCAGACGTGGGATGTGGAAGAGAAGCTCTAAACAGGGCCTGAAAGTGATAATAATGAACTGCTTGTAAAAAGAAACATGCATTAATGAAACTATAAAAAACTCAACCTCTGAGACTCATTTTAAATGACTTCATAAATGGAAGTCAGTCAATGTCCAAGTACCCAAGACCCAATGTCCAAGACAAATTTATGAAAATTACTGCATTATATGTGAACTTGATATAGAGACAAGTATTTCATAGCATGGTCAAAAGAAAATAAGAAAAATAATCATGAAAGGTTCCTCAGCAAGTACTCTGAATATACTGCAAATCTTGAAAATGGACCAATGGTTCTTCTCTCTGATTTCAAGTCAAAGCATCCCAAATAAATCTCTGGAAACACTGGAAAAATGCCCATTAAATTAATCAGGTATTCTTGGGACAAGCCTCTGATCATCAAATAGAAAGAACTTAATAGTCTGTTCAAATGCTTCGAGGATCAAGGAAAATGAAGAGGAAAAATCTGCTGGGAAAATTTTGGAGAAGTATTCAAACACCTATTTTAACCAACCTGAAGATATCTCATGAAAAAAAACACAAGCTAAGAACGCTAGTTTGATTTTACTCACTATTAAATATTTGCTCAGTCACTACCTCAGATGTTGCTTCTGAAAAGGACCCTGAAGCTTTACAGCCAGTAAAAAGCACTTTAGCCATTTCTTCAATGCCCTGAGGTCACTGAGATTTCTGTTACTATCATTAGAAATAGCGTTTCGTCTCTTAAGATAAAAAACACTATTACAAGAAAGGCCCACATTCTGCCTACTGCTTTCTCTATACCTTTACAAAAATATTTAAGTAACCTCTGAGGCTAATTTTTAGCCAAGAGAGAAAAGGTCTTCAGACAAGGCCAGAAATTCAACTACATCTGTTGAATGTGAGGAAAAGATAAAAGCAAAAACTGAGGACAGAGCTCTGTGTATCACCCTGTCTGCCTGTCCACCCCTCCACTTCCCAGACGAAACGATGAAAAAGTTAGCAGAAAAAGGAAAGTTTGTTACCAACTAAAACTGATGTAACCTAAATGAGTTTAAAGGGAATAAAGGAGGAACATTAACTCTGTTTCCAAAGTTAGATATTCCTTCCTAAAGGTGTTTATCTTGTCATAATTAGCAATGATATGCTGAAGAATATCCACTTGCATAGTCAGACCTGAGATATTAACCAGCCTAAAGCCTATACCAGAGGAGGAATTTAAATTAGATTATAAAAGAGCTTTCCAAATAGAGCAACAAATTATGGACTTGAACTTGGCAAGGTGCTGTGACAGTAACTAATTATATTTTTCAAGACTCTCAGCCAGCAAGCTGCTCCTATCCCAATTAATATCAGACCCACTTGAGTCAGTCACAATTATTCCTACTATTATTCAAGAGTAACAAATGGTTACCGCTAATTCTGTCACAGGAAGGAATCAAAATTGTTCAGCTTTGCAGCTCCACCAATTACTCTGCTTACAGCTATTCAGAACTCACAGTGAGCTCCGTTTCCCCAGCTTGTTCTCTCTTTGCTGACATTAACGTAACTTAAACGTGCCCGGGCTCAGCTCCCACCAGCGCAAACACACAAGCACGAGGAGGGGGTTGGTTTGCTCTGGAAGGAGGCTGCTAACTTCCTGAGGCTGCACTGGAAGGAGCGAGCACCAGGCCCGGCCGCGTCTTACTGGCAGATGAAGTACAATTCTTTTTCCAGTAACACCTTTGTTAGTGATGGCTTAAAGGTTCTTTTTAAAAGCAAACTGAAACCTTTCTTTTTCTTTTCTTCTCCACTGTTGGTTTCTGAAAGCTGGCAAACTTAATTTTAATGATCTTATTTTCTTTGTAAATGAATTCTGAATTGTTTTGACTGTCCTCTATTTTCAGAAGAAACTTCTTACGGAGTTGAGATTTTAGTACTATAAAATAATATCTCTCAGTACTAGAAAAGATTCACAAATAGCTTTTTTGTTCTTCTGGGTGAAAAGTATGACAATCTCTGAAGACTCTGTTCAGATTAATGATAGAGAGTACCCTGCTATTGTTGATGCCATCCAGCTCTTCCTGAGAGAACACCTCAAGGGAAGAAAAATGTATTTTACTGCCAGTTTTTTTTAGCCATCTTCACTTCTAAGTATTTCATTATTTCTCTCAAAGAAAACTAGCCTCCTATTGAAGTGATAATTTTCAGGCTATAATACAGGAATGATGTTAAAAAACAGAATAAATACAATCTAATGTGCCTAAATTGTCAGATCCTTCTGATCTACAGTCCTCCTTTATAATCAAAATAAAAAGAAATATTTTAACAGAGGGCTATTGAGATTTAAATCTAAAAGCATTGTCAACTTCATGAATTCTAACTGAAATTGTATTCTTACCTTAAAGAGTAGAGCAGAAAAATAGCAGCACTTAGCTCTTAATCTCATCTTTGATGTTATGATATACCTGAAGTACAGCAAACAGTAAGAAATGTGAATGTGTCCATCGATTTAAATTATTTAAACTCTTATTCTATCATCTAGTGTAATAATGATACTAACTAGACGTTTTCCACATTTAAGAATAGTTGCCTGTACTGTAGAATGGTGCTAAACCTTTGGAAGAAAAGGCTCACTTGAGCAGAAGTACATCTAGACAGAGACACGTGTCTAGATTCCTTTTGTAGTTAAGGGAGAGAAACAGGCAATGGTAATGGGCAAATCCTCTAAGCAACGATATTATAAACGTCCTTGAATCTACATTTTAATATAAGAGATTTAGTTCCTCTAGAAAGAGCAACTCAAGGGAAAGGAGTCTAAAGATCCAGATCAGATCTGAGTAGAAAAGATCTGCCCAAGGGAGAAGCTGAGAAGAGAGTTTCCTGCTCCCTGCAGATCCCTAGCAGGAACTGGAATGGACATACTAGAAGACACAGCACACAGCACAGCAAACATGGGCTGCAAGCTCATGTGAAAATAGTTCCTTCTTCTCAGCTAAGATAGTTTGCTCAGAGCTCAGATGAAACTTTCATGGATACTACTGATTTAGAGCTATTTTTTTTTTATTTTGTACATTTTATGAACTGTAAACTGTAGCAGCACAGAATAACATCCATAGTGTTTCACCAGCAAGCAAGCAGTAGTGGATTGTAATATTTATGGATGGTAGTCTTTCATAAAGTAATTCAGATTTTATTTAGTTGTAACTCACCAGAAAATGAGCACTTTAGGTGGGCAATCTGCCCTCAAGAAACATTAATATTTAAAATGCACAATGATTTGCAAGATGTGATATTTCAATGGAAAATCAATATGACAAAAAATGCCTGTGCTTACATTTTTTTGATAATTTTGTTTTACTTCAAGGATCTCTCAATGGCTAAAAATATGATCAGAGATGAGCGCTCTAAAAAAGAGAATTCAAACAATATCTTCCAAAAGAGCTGCTTTCCTCCTGAAAGGAAGTCTTTCGGGTAAGTCTTTAACAGTTCTTTAGTGTTTTAAAATAAAGTTCCAGATATCTAATGTCCTGGATGGACATTTCTCCAGAAAGATATTTTTCTTTTAAAATATAAATTTAATATATAAATTATATATAAATATATAAACATAACTTGTGCATGCACGCACACACACACATAAATACTTACTGGGCTATCTTAGCTGCTAAAACTGCTGCATGTAAACATCCCCAAATTCCAGCCTGAGAAAGAAATTTCTGACTTATATCAGTAGATCTTCCATCTGCAAGGCAGTCTGTAGCATTTTTTGAAATACCTAATTCCTGCCAGTTGTTAAGAGCATCAGTAATGTTGAGTGTTCCATCAAGGGCTTGACACCAATATTTAAAAGCAGCTCTGTGATACATAAAAAACATACTCATCATATTGCTGACATTTTCCAAAGTGGGTGATAAGACAGGTTTTATGTTATCATTATTGCCTGAGTTACAACTAATTCTGATTAGGTCAGAAATTGAAATATCTGTCCTACAACATAAAAAGATTTCATTTCTGGTCAAAACAATCATGAGGAAATTTATTAAGACTAAACTGTCAAATGATAATTACTTCCTAAAACTTCATAACAATGCCTAATGTTACAATGATCTAGCAGTGAAAAATAAACCCTTTCTAGAAAACGTCTCTCAAAGTATGTCAATACCGAGATATATGAAGTTACATGGATCTGCAGACAAGCACATAAACTTACAAGACAGTTTAATCTATATGAGCATCAAATAAAAAAAAAACATTTTTTTTAAATCCAGTATCTATGCACCTTTTGTTTCCAGCATAGAAGTGAAGATTTCCAAGTTCATGTAGAGCCTGAACCTTGAGGTCTCTCTGGTTGTTTATTTCAAGGATTCCTGTTATTTTTAAAAAAAAACAATTAGAAAAAAATGCCATATTATTAAAATCGATTGCTTAATCTTAAACAAATTCTGCACGAGAAGTTCATGTAAATTCATATGCAATTCAATATGTAAGATTTTTTCAAAGATTCAAAAGATGCATATTTTACCTTTCATTGTACAAGTTCCTATCTCATTTCTCTAACTCTAAAAACAAGAGCAAATGTATTCATGGATCTGTTTAACTGTTGCTTTTTTCTCCTCGCCTTCCCAAATTTCTTCCTCATCCGGAAAAAACGGGGAAGCATGCCATTAACCAAAGCCCTGCTAAAGAACACGGCCTGGATACGGCCTGGATACAGCCAGTATCGTTTCCTCTGGCTCATTTCTGGATCCCTTACTTTAGATAAAACTGCTTAAAACATCTGTTGACTTGCTTCTTTTGGACTACTTTGTCACAGAACAAAATAGGTAGCAGCACTGAACTACAAATATGTGAGTAAAGCCAAACAAGAATGCAAGATGGAAGCCAAACAACTCCCTCTCATATTCAAATGAACAGAATCTGAAAACTCAGTTTCTTGGCAGCAGGGAGAATGCAGGGGGAAATTGTGGAATAAAAATGCCTGTTGAACATGACTGCAGATTTTTGATTTGGGAGTAATTGCTATTACTCCACTAAATAAAAGATTTTTCATAAGAGGAGATAACTTTCATAATAAAAGATTTTTCATAAGCGGAGATACTTTTTCATAAGAGGAGGTAACTGCAAAGGACAAACTATAACTGCAATAACTGCAAAAAACAAACTATTGGCTTGTTTAGTATCTAAGGTAGACTTTTTTTTTTTGAATTAACAGGAAAAAACAAAAGATTATGTACTTCCAGAGACCACCAACCAGAGCAGCACCCTCCTCACACTGAGGAAAATAACAGTGGAGTCAACCGACATGAACACAGGCAGAATGTTAGATTTTTCCAGAAAGATAAATTTATAAATAATTTACCAATTGTTTTTTCATAGGAAGAAATAATGACTGAAAGTTGGGACTGTGGTATTGGTTTTCTCTCAATCATACTGGAGAAATCAAAATTTTCTTCAGAAAGGTCACATGGTGTTGGCAGAAATGTCAGCTCAGCTCCTACACTAAATTTCAGCCTTCTTTTTGAAGAGATCTGACTGATGGTTCTTCCAACGTTTTCTAGATCAGAAAAGCAATTTACACACTCAGTTTAGAACAACACTGCATAAAGAAAAAGTAAATATGTTTCCTATGTGCTCTCCTTTAATTTGGTTTCTATGCTATGATTCTGTTTGTTTGTCTCCTTTTAACTGGACCTACTGATCATAACTCATTGCTCAACTCAGCCAAATAAAAATACGTGCCCAGATAGAGGGAAAAAAAAAGCTTAGCAAGAGCTGTCAGTCAGCTGACTGATTCTTAGCTGCAGAGATGACAAGTTATTAGGCACCAGAATATCCAACATGGTAAAAATACTTATAAGTCACACAATTGTATGGAAAAAAAAAAAAACCTGTCACCCAACCATGAGCCACAGATCATAAGAAATTAGGCTTACAGATTGTGCTTACAGAACCTTCATATACTACTTTATTAGAAATTAGAAAATTAGAAATTAGAAAGAAACAAAATATAAACAGTCTGATATTAGTAGTATTGGGTTATAAATTTTGGCTCAATTAGAATTCAAATATTTTCTAAGTTTCTTTTTTCCTCATTCTTAATAACGACTAAATCTTCATTAACAAAAAAGTTCCTTTCACTGTTTCTTATTTTAACTGCATATATGCTTTACTGTTAATTGAAGGATATCTCAATGAATAAACTCACCTTGTGTGTGTGCAAGAAATAATGAAAGTAGTTTTCTGCTGTGTCTGAGTGCTCTGCTGTGATATTTAGATTTTTCTAGTGTTTCTCTAAAACATTTCAGTGTGTCATTCACATCAAGGGGTACATAAACTAGGCATTTTGCTTGAGTGTGATCTAGAAGGAATTAATTATGGAGAAAAAAAATCATGACACAAACATATACTTCTTAGCAAAACTTCTGTCCCCTTTTTGTTCATTTGGGTTTTTCTATTGACTCTATAAATGACAGTGCAGCTTTGCAACAATTTTTGGACATTTTTGTGGGTAGCCAGCACTGCTCACAGAAAGCCACCAAGTGTATACATCATGCCATAGGCCATGAGGCATTTGGATGACATCTGCTTTTCTCTCCTCTCAGATCCAGTTTGAATCTGTTTGGAAAGGTCTTCAGAACATTACTAATCATCAAAAATATCAAGGCCTCTTCAGAATAATACTCAGAAGAGAACTGAACTTATAAAAAGAAACAGATTATAGTAACAGTGGAAGTCTTACAACAGGAATGAAAGTGAAAAATAAAATACCCAGTATGAAGCAAAAGAAAGCTTTTAAAAGAAAAAGAACTCACTATATTGAGATGTGCTATGACTTATATAATAATTCTTTGTCGTAGGAGAGGAAAAACATCCAGGAAAGATCTTTTCACAAGGTGAATGGACAAGAGGCAGCTGATTCCCTATGTAGTTTCTGCAGCTCATCTGAAAAAGAAGTTTTGTTTCATAATCATTGAACAATATTCAGAAAATATCAAAATGTTTGATGCTTAAATATTTAAAGACATAGTCATGCCAAAATAAGAGAGATTTAATTTTCAAGATGCCACTCACCCTTAATGAGCAGTCAACTCAATAAAAGGTGAAATATTGAAAATACCTAAATATTGAATCTATCATCTAAATGTTTGAATGTGAAATAATACATCTTACTTTTTGGATTAAAGCTGGAAAACACAAGCTCAAGATTATGGATGAATTGAATCTTTATTTATTTCATTTATTATTTTCCAGAACCACAAGCCATTCATTTACGCGCAACAATCTAAATCCCCTCCTGCGCTGATGTAATGCAGAATTGATCCATCAATCTCAGTGATATTGTAGCATTCACCTATGCAGGAAATCTGGATAAATGTACGCTTGTAAAGAATCTTTAAGTCTAAGCATGCCTAAGGGGAACACTGCCTATAAAGCATAAGGTAGTGCTGTATACTAACATCCAAAATAACTACAAGCAAACAAAAAATTAGTCAGCCTTGTCAGAGAAGCAAATTTTCAAATATATCCATGTTCTCAACAGGGCTATGTCAGCACTGCAGTTAGTCATGTTTATGTAGCTACCTGGTTTCAGAAGGAACATATTCTATGCAAAGCTAGTTTTCATGCCTCTGAGTGGCACTGCATTGTGAAATGCAGCCTCCCAATTTTCAGCCCTTTGCTATCTTTTTTGAATGATCCTTACTCCTACTAACTAATACTAGTCTTTATTCCGTAAATTAAGATGACTTTCCAAATTCTGATTACTTCTCCATATTGCTCAGATCACTGTGGTATGTGGCACTTTGTTACACTGCCCTCATTTTAGGCAAAGAACTATGTTATGAATGACAGAGACCAAAGGAACTCAGCAGAAAATAGCCTCCCAGGTACAAAAGATACAGCAAATCAGCTGTATTCTGCAAGCCCTGAGTGTATTCCAAGTTTCTGAGGCACTATACAGCAGTTTGCTGTTTCTGGGAGAGGCAGAGGTTCCTGAATCCCAAACAAGTTCAGAACTATACATATATAATATATATATATATATATATATATAATATAAATCTCATTTTTTCTACCTCCTTATAATCTTGGGTTTATGCTACTTAATAAACAATAAGGTTAAAATATCTACTAGGCACTTGATTTGAGCAAAACTTCTTAGAAATAAACTTTATATTAAAAATCCTATTTTTTAATAGCTGATCCTATGAAAATTTTGCCACTGGCAAAATTTGTTTGATAAGCTCAATTTGCTTAATGTTGATGTTTTAGAGAAAAATTCCAACACAGAAATAAAGCAATCTTTTCATTTAAGTTTAATCAACCATAAAAATTACCACATATCCAAATAAATGTTTTAAACAGGTCAAAACATCAGCATCAAAAATTAACATAAAATTAGATCAAGGCTCATAGTATGAGCAATAATGCAAGGGTGGAAGAAATTGTCTCTGGGTGATAACATCCAGACCTCTGCTGTTGCTGGAATTGTGTCATACATGCCATTACATACACTTCAATTAATTTTGGTCATTAATTTCTTATGATGAATTACTATTTGTGAACACTTTGGAAAACCATTAGCAAAAACAGTCTTCTCGATTTAGATTACAGTAAGAGCAAGTACCCAAGAAATAAATCTGTGGTTCACCTTATCTATGTTATCAGTCAGATATTTTATGAAAGGTGATTTAGGGTTATGAAGGCCACTGAATTGTTGTATCCTTCCTAGCAGCTGCCTCTGAGCATACACCAACAGTGGACTCACTTGTTCTGTGTATCTCTCACTGAAAAAAAAAGCAAAATATAACCATAAATCAAAATAACAATATCTTTAACTACAAAACATTGGTTTCTTTTCTTGTTGTTGTTGTTGCTGTTAGAGTTTATGTAACTTACTGTGTAAATATGTTAAATTGCACAGCTATGTGTACCAGTGCTTCCCACTTCTTCATTTGATATAGCAGTTCAATTGTTTTAAGGATCAGATTACATATCCACCTCAAATCAATCAAATTCACATCATCCAGAGCAGACTGTGGGTGGAGACTAGAACCACCATTCTCATCAGCAATACCTCCTAAGCAACTAGGAATGCAGAAATCTCCTTCAGGATCTATAACCTACAATGAAGAAAAATAAGGCTACCTGTTACTGTCAAATTTGTTTTTAGGAGAAATGAAATTATAAAGATTATAAAGTACAGTACTTCTCTAAAACTGAGTTACAGAAGACAACTTGCTATCAAAATGAAATGCAATAGCAAGAAAATCATCTCTGTTGAGAATGTTATCGAGTGTGCAGTCTTAATAAAAATACATTTTTACCTTAAGAGAATTACTTGATTGTAGCTCAGTTATCATATCAATGATCATGTCTGAGGCCAGATAAAATGGCAGCCAGATGGTGTCCCTAACAAAATCTCTGGTAAAGGAAAATGCACCTGGATGGGAATGTGAATGTTTAGCCATTGATTGTGCTTCTTGAGCGTAGTTCCAAAGTTCTCGGCAAGCATTTTGAAGCAATGTCCAGTGGCCACCACGATGAGCAAGAACCTATGTATAACATTCAAAATATAACTATACTTGGAAAAAAGAAAAATAGAAAGCATCATTGTTTAAATGCCAGGAGGAGGTATAAGTAATCTTTCAAAATTATAATCCACAAATCCTCCCTAATAGCAGATTTACTCAATATTTGAGCTTATAGAAAACATTATAAAATTCCTATTTGAAAATTTTCTTAGAAGCCCTAACATTTTATTTAATTTTATTTTATTTGTTGCTTTTGGTGTAAGAATAATTTATAAAAAAATAATAAACACCACCTATAAACATGTTCGAACTTGTTTTTAGTAGGGTTTATGAGAAGAATGGTCAGCCTATATTTCAAACTCCAATCTTTGTTTTACCACAGCATCTATCAAAGACCTGTAAAGCAGCATGTCTGGAGCTGTTTTGGGAAAGATTTGGAAGACATTGGAAGGAAAGACAGAATGAAAAAAAAAAACCCACAAATAACTAAACATTTGATTGAAATGTTTAGTAATAAGTATTTAGTAAAATGTATTTTACCACTGCTCTTCTTAAATGCAGAAATATATTTGTAAAATGCTCTGAAAACATAGTTTTTGTCGGAAACCGGTCATGCTCTTTGGGGGAAAATGAGATGGATATTTCTGACTCATTTGTCGTTTGAGTTTGAGGAGTATCTGTCTCACTTGATTTCGAGCTGTGCTCAGAAGATTTAGCTGTATCTGAAGACAAAAAGGTCACTGGTTAGAAACGAGTTAGAGTTCTCAAAAACATAAAAAAGGACAGCTAAAAAATTGGTCAGCTAAGATTTTCCAGTGGCACCCAGACACTATAATGTTATGAAATGCCAGAGTTAAGGTTATCATATTTTATAAGGTTATGATATTTAAAATAAAAGATGCCTATACTTACGCAGCAGGAGAGGCAGGGATTAAAAAAAAAAAAAAAAAAAAGTAACAGTTTAAGTAAAATAGTAATGTGCACCAAATAGTTTCTAGACTTTAAGCCAAAATGCAACCCTTCCAGAAGTTTCCAAGTTTAACTGGTAAGCTCCCAAGAACTCTTCTGGGGGAAGGGTTTCTTAGGAAAAGAAACTGTAAAGAAGGGAAGATTGCGTATTATTCATAGAATTGATTCACTGTTTTTTTTTTTCAGTAAGAAATGTTCTTGGGGGAGGCAAGAGCGTTTATGGTAGAAGGATGAAGTAATATCTGAGCTGAAGATAGGTTTCATAGCAGAATTTATTTCAAGCTGAACAGCATTTGAATAGAATGGCAAACTACAAGCTTCATGAAAGCTCTTTCATTCAAAACTCTTACAACAGTGAGAAAAAAAAAAAGAAACGGGTTTTTCATTTGTTTTCAGAGAATCTCCATTCTTGGTGACTTGTAAACTTCATGAAAAAACGGAAGGGTAGAGCTATGACTACACTGCTGCAAGGAAAACCAGTGAGTTCACCAGATAGTTTTGTCACATGTCCTTGAAAAGACAAGTTTAGGGCTGAGCCCTACCTAAGAAAGTCCTGTACAGAGTGTTTGGGGAGCAAAGAGCATAGAAGGAAACAAATTATTTTACTGAAAAAAAAGACAATAATAAACTTTGTTCAATAATTTAAGACAGACTAGGAAATTATTGACAAGTTAGGAAATTTAAAAGAAATTACAGAATAGATAATAATCACAGAAATTGATAAAAATATGATTGAATTTAGAACATTGTGGAATGTTATCATATTAATACAACTAGCTGTACTGTCTAACAATGCTACATGAGATAATAAAGAAAAAGCTAAGTTAAATCTGATTCCATTTGTGTAACCATTAAAAGTTCTTACAAGTTTTTTTTTTGATTATTTCTGAATGTGACTTCTTAAGGAGAAGAGAACTTGGTGTTATATTATCCTCCATGACCTCTCTCACCACTATGATGCCAGAATAACTTAATGAGAATATTTCAGGATCCAGAATATTGTAACTGCAGAACGAAAGAAAAAAGAAGTATGAAAAAGTAGGTATAACATTAAAAAGATTTTTTGTATATAAACACAAAAATCGGTTTGTCAAAAGCCAGTTACTTTCAAAAGTCTTCCCTGTTTTAAGAAAAAGAATACTTGAATAAGCAGCCAAAAAAGTGTATGTTACCTGCCATATGATGGAAGATGAAAGGTAAACATAGTAAATTCATTTGCATGTAGAAGCTGAACTAGTCATATGACAAACTCACTGGTGATATTTTCATTTAAATCTGTTAGCATGAATGGTACAGTATATTAATAAGAATCACTGATAATGCAATAAGATATACCTGTTGTGATGCTGTGAAACACAAGTTCCAACAACATATTGCTCTCCCAACTTCTTCTTGAACAAGTTATAGTGTGTGACTGCCAGATAAATATTCATCTGAGACCTCCAGGGCATCTCCTCAATACATGCTTGATGAAACTTCCTTCGGTTTAAGTAACTAGTCACGAGTGGTTTCAGGAACACCACCAAGGTGTGACGAGCTACCTTTTGTAACTCCTCTCTGTGTTGCCTAAATCAAAATATATATATGCAGTAGCAAAATAAAGAAATTACTTCTCAAAGGTCTAGAAAATAAAATAATGATAAAGACTCACAGAAGAATCTCATTATGTATCCACAGACTTGTACTAATTCAGAAGCATATTACAGATTTCTAGCAATAGGATATTAACTGCAGTATGGAAGATATTTACAGCCACTGCTTTCAGGAGAGGAAGTCATGTTTTCTCTCTTTAAGCACACTTATCACACACTAAATGCCATCTTACATTTTACTGACTTCCATAAAATATTATTCTTAGTAAATACAAAAAATATTTAGCTGTATGCTTTGAGATACTTGTACCTGAATCCTCCAAATAAATCATTATAGCAAGTTAAGTGTGATTTACACAAAAGATAGAGGATCAACTATTATGCTGTAAGCTTAAATCATTCTTTTTATTGTTTTATTTTGGTAGCGAATTGTCATCTGTGTGACAAAGACATTTACTTTCAAATACATATGTTTCCCTTGAAATTTCAGTCATAGATTTTGTTCCATGGCTCTCTGTCAGATCAAAAAATTCTTAATTACTTCATATTTTCTCTCTATGGAGATGCATGCAATACTGTAATCAAATCACGTTTCAATTTTCTTTTTGAAAAACTAGAAACTTTGCCTTTTATATTTCCATTTTTTTCTGTCAGTTTTGACTTCAGCACATGAGTAGAACAGTATACTATATATATATAGTATTACTTATTACTGTTCTCTCTATATAATTTAGAATATTATATATTCTATTACTACACTATAGTATGTATACTATCCTATATACACTATAGTAGTACTATAGTAGTATATAGTATATAGTATCTTACATAGTATCTTATATAGTACAGTATCTTATATAGTACAGTATATAGTATATATAATATACTATATATATAGGATATGCTATATATACTCTACAGAAGAAATAGTATATACTGTATATTCTAAATACTGTTATGTAACTTACATATAATAATTTTTAACAACATATAATACTTTTTAAAATATTTGACCAATAATAATGATACAAAGGAGTAGCTGAAGGAGCAAAAACTCAGGATAAGTAAAATACTCCTTCTTCCACTGAAAGTCATGAAAGAGAGGCCCTCGTTCTAGACGAAGAAGAATGGACAGTTGAAGTCAGTATTTGGAAGATCACAGATAAAATAGCTTGTTCCAGGCCTTCATTTAAAGCACTTTGAGAATCAGTTACGTGACTGCTTACAGTCAGATAGTATTTCTAGTCTTCTACTTGCTACTTACTGGAGCTTGGCCAAGTATGTTTAGCTATCAGAGAAATGAAATAGTGAATGAAGTTTCAGTGGTTGTATGAAGAAAGTTTTCTGAAAACTAGAGAACAGATGAGCTAAAAAGCCTAGCAAAAAGATGATAAAAATTGCTCTGAAAAATAATCCCGATCTGATACAAATTTAAAAAATCTTTTTTTAGATGTACAGCAGCTGAAATTCCCTAGCAGTCTGAAATGCACAAGACAGTATGCAGCTTAACATAGCTTACGCAATGGTGAATTAATATGCTCAAGCTAAAATAACTGAAATACATGGTCATGGAAATATTAATACAAAGAACACAAAATCTTCTATAGATATTCGCTGCTATTGCAGAAAAATTTATATATTGCAGAAAAATTATGGATTTTGTGCACTGGACTGGAAGCATATTTTATACCAAAACAAAACAGAAAAGTGAATGAACTGTGTACCTCTTGGCATAACTAAACCCAGTTAAACACATTCCTTTCATACAAGTTTAGAAAAAAATACACATGCACTTGATTGAAAACTAAATTTCAGTAAAAAATATTTGGTTCTGTGAGTGATCCTGATGACGTATGCTCATTTACCTTCGTGCTTCTGGATATTTCATTATGTTTGGATATCTCATCAAATACTGTCTAAGAGTCTGTGCTTTTTTAACAGGGCTACAAACGTCTTTTCTTGGCATCTTCAAAGACGATGTCTCTAGTTTCTTAGAAGCTGAGATTTCCAGGCTCTTTAAAAAAAATCTTCCATTAAAATCTTAAATATACTACAAATATTTAATCTAAACGATCAGTTACTTAAGATAAGAACCAATTTGTTTTACACAGCAAAAGAAAATTCAGAACTGCTCGTCAAAATCTGATAGCAAAAGAAGTATGTAGCTTTTGTTTGTTTGTTTGTTTTTCTGGAAGACATATGTCAAATGCCCAATATGACTGAGAAACCAGCCAGGCACCAAAATATTTCTTTAGTATATCAATGTCTCTATCTAGAAAAATATGGTTGTTCTTTTGCTATTATTTTAAATGCTAAAACTTCATAATGGAAATCAGATACAGAAACTTTCCCTAGACTGTCTCAAAGCAAGTACTATTCTAACATTACTAAAGAGTTCTGAGGGAAAAAAACTCCTCATGCAAAAGAACACAAATCCATTAAGGCACTTCTTACCTTGGAATAAAATTGTAAAGAAATACAAAATTTCATTTACAATTTATAAAGAATTATAAACAAAAAGCATTTATTCTTCAATTAGGATATCTACCTAGGGAATATGAACAGCAACTCATGAAAACGTGCAAGTATAACAAATTGATGTATAAATGCCTAAACTGATCACTTTTTCATAATGTGATAGTACAGGGGCAATTCATACCAATCTGGGTTTTTCTAAAGTGAGCTGATGAAAGGTAAGGCTTCATTAATCTTGAAATTCGTTACTCTACTCGTTATCTGGAACAGCCCACAAATGCTGGCCTTTAAAATATCTCCGGTGTCAATTTTTCTGCGTGTCTCTATCTGTAATTTCTAGGAAATAACTTTTTAAAAATTACTGTTGTGCCCAGTAATGACATACATGACTTCTCAACAGTAACAACTCACTCTGTGGAAGTCCAGAAATGCTGAAGTGGGCCTCCTTGCGCTTTCATGAACAGATAAAAAACTTGTTTCTCGTTTTAAAGTTCCTTCAACAGAGAGAAAGTGTTCATTCCTCCTGACAAATAAACAATAATGTTAAACTCATTAAATATCTGTCCTTTCATTTTTCTCCCTACAAAGGAGTGGTCATTCTCAAGATTCCTTATTCAAATCTTAATGTACAGGTAACAACAATCTCACTTTCCTAACTCCTAGTAAAACTAAGCAGTTTGCTACATTACCCAAGTTCTACTGTGGAAGACTGTGGAAAATTTATCTGCTTACAGTCCTTTTGGTCTTTTATAAAAACAGTTCCCCACAACATATCTCCTTTTTTATGATCATTTGCCTTTCAAATTACAGGAATACTGTTGGGCTTTTTAAATTATATTAAATTTCTAGTTATATTTTAGGTAAGTGACTTTAACTGGCTTCCACTTGTGTTTTCAGTATGAATTAATTAGTTCTTCTTGGATTTTTTCTTAATGTGTCTCCTGTATTTGAAGACTGGCACCTACACAGCCATACATTACTCTTCTGTAGCAATACATCATATTTTAACAAATATTCTTTTTTTCTAGAAAAATGATGGCTCTTTATGTATTTCTAGGAATGTATACATAACTGTTTAAAAACTATATATAGTTACATAATACATTACATATTAGCACTAAATATTATGCCATTAACATCCCTAAATGGAAACCCCAGTGTACACAGTTATTGATCATTCAAGATAAAATACGCTTTATTTTATCAATATTATCTATCTTTTAAAAGAATGTTATCATCATTATCTATCTTTTAAAATAATTTCTTCTTTTTTGAAAATGAAGTAGTCCCTGATGAGTTTCCTTAACTCCATACGTTTTTCTGAGTTCCATCTTAGGAGAACAGAGGAAATGTTACTATCACACTGCCTCATAATAATAGGCTTAGTGACCAAATAATAAAGCAATGTCTGTGAAAGGGACAAGCCTGAGTCACAGAAAGGTTGATGACAGACAGGAGTTTTGGAACAGTCAAGGAAGAGGTATCCACATGCAATAATGTCGCAATGAATAATTTCTGCAATTACATAATCCTCTGTGTTCACAGGACTTCTGCAGATGAAGAGCCATGGAAATGGCTCTGGATGGGACTCCTACCAAGTACAGTCTACAGGTTCTGCTATAACTGAGACACTGATGAACCTAAATAGCAGTTTCTTCATGCTACTATAATAGACACCTACGTTGCTAAGTAATGTTGCGCGTTTTCTGCCCAGTCCAAAGATTTTTGAAACTTCTCTTCGTTCAGGAGTTTGTGCAAAACTTGAACAAAGTACTCAAGAAAACGTGATTTCTTTCTGAATTTCATCACTGCAATAAAGTAATACATAGTTACCACTTTTTTGTATTTTCTCTCTCAGTAACATAATTTAACGTGGAAATTTAATATCTCAGTTTAAAAAGGAAAGGTCACTGCAAATGTGACACAATTTTCAACAAAATGAGCTCATTTTCAAAGTTACTAGAAAATGAATCAAATTTCATTTAAAATTTTAACCTTTTAAAAATTTAGTATAGATACCTAAAATAACTTGTTTCAAGTATTTCATACACTTCAAAACATGACCATATTAAGGAATTTTAAAGTTATGATGTACTTGACTTTTTTTACAGACGAAATCAAGGTGAAGAAAAAGTTTCCAAGAGCTTATTGTAAACAATAAAAAAGTAAAGTACATTCAAAATGCTTCATTGGCAACTTTCTAAACTAAAGAAGCCTTTAAAAAGAAATCCCCATTATCCTACCTTCTCGATAAGCATTCTTTGTTGCCCAGCATGAAATGATAGGGTAGAGGAACAAAGGATCTTCCTGTCCTGTAAGCTCTGACGCAGGTACTACATCAACAACCAAAACAAAATCCATTATGGCAAATAGTGATAGCATACAATAGAATCTCTACCTGTAATCATAATCGAAGACTAGAAAAAAAGCATCTTCAGACAAAAAGTTTGCTATTAAATCTCTCATTGTCATCCTCACAAACAGTGAAAAGTTTTCTCTTTTATTCTCTCTTCAGAAGCTCTGCAGCTTCAGTAATGAAGAGCTTAAGGATGTGACCAATAAACTCCCATCTACTAGAGTAATGAGCAAGGTATCAGGGGTCTAATAAATATTCATATAAACCATCTGTGGAGGAGGATGTGCAGTAAGGAAATGTCCAAAAAATGGTATTTAAAGATAAGCACCATGAATTAAACGCATGATGCTACTAGTGACTGGTGCTTACTATATGGAGATAAATACATGCTCACTATATGGAGATCCTGAGTAGCTAAACATGCACACATACTGTTCACCTAAATATTTACATTAATATATCATATAATATATATAAATGTAGATGAATAAGATAGATACATCTATAGTGGAACAATAAATTGCATTTAAGCCTCTGACAGCTAAACACCACTGTGCTATCAGTTCATGAACCTCAGAACAACGTGACGTACTATTTGCTATTTTGCCTTAATAGAGAAGCATGACCAAAAAAATCTTGTGCTGAGTCTATAAATTTTAACAGCTCACCCTACATCGTCCTAAACCCCTTGAGAGTATTTGTAATAGCAGTTTTAAGCTTTGTTACTGGCTATGCATGGTCTCAGCAGAAGATTGCTCTATCAGTTTGTACTAAGTTCTTAATCTGAGCAACCAACCCTTTTCCCCTCCAGAAATTATGAAATAGTCTTTTTTTTCTGCTGCAAAGTTATTTTTATGTATGTATCCATTTATTAATTTTGCAGAAATACACTTGAAACTTATTGACAAATATCCTATTTTAGCAACAGAGCAAGACTTCAGCAAAAAAAGTATTTTTGAATTACTGAAAATGTGTTCTTCTCTGATTAACTCATTAATTTTCTATTAAGTATAAATGGAACATAATTCTATTAAATAATCAATATAATTTTCATTTAACTCACAGAAATCATTAGGCCTGTAACTTGTTCTGCATGGATGCAGGCATCCATATCAGCAGAAAAAAATGGAATGATCAGCACGCAGACAAATGGAATTTGCTCATTTTTTTTCCTATGGTATAGAAATACTTTGACTTCAGGGACACGTACATATATATACAAGCACAAATGCATACACGTGCACGACGGACAACTAGCTGTGTGAACCTGTAGCAAAGGCCAACTGCATCCTGGCTTTATTAGAACGAGTATAGCCAGTAGGGCAAAGGAAGTGCTTATTTCCCAATGTCCAGCACCTCTGAGACAACATCTAGACTATTATGTTCAGTTTTGGACTCCCTACTAGAAGACACTGGGATACTGGAATAAATCCAGCAGGCGGTCACCAGAATAATTAGGAGTTGGAGCGTATGACATGCAAAAAGAGGCTGAAAGAACTGAATTTATTTGGCCGCAAGAAGAAACGTCGAAGGGGAGATCTTAGCACAGTCAAAACTACGCAATGCAGGGGATAGAAGAGCTCCTCATAAGTGCCCAGTGATAGCAGAAGAAGCAATGGACATAAGCTAGAAACCAGGAAATTCCAAATAGATAAAAAGAGAAAGCTTTTTCATCAGAAGGGTGGTCAAATATGGGAACAGGTTGCCCACAAATGTTGTTAAATCTTATTCTTTAGAGATCTAACTGGACCTGCTTCAAGGAGGGGGCCAGACTGCATGACACCCAGAAAGACACTTCAAACTAAATGATTCTATGTAGACACTAGGGAGTAAAAGTTGCCAGGTAGCTGATAGGAAAAAAAAAAAATGGTAGCAGCTCTAAATTAAGTTTTAATCACATTTCTTCATAAATCCTATTTTCTGCTTCATTTACCTCTGACAGAACAACTATCCTGAAAAATCCTATACTTAATCCAGATCCTGAGATACTTTAAAGCTGATACATTCACTGTTATGTTACAAGCTAATTAGGGTAATTCCTTTAAAGAGAGGAATATTTTTGTTTTTCTTTCTTTCCACTGAAATTTCCTGCAATGGGCATTACCACTAGCAACAGTAGGACCCTGAAATTACACTAACTACAGATGAACGATGACTTTTGCCACCGCATTTTCTGAATTAAGTAGATTTACACAGATTGGGAGAACACAGATGATAGCATATGACAGCAGGAAAAAAAAGCAACCTTTTTTTTTCTAGGAAGAAATGAGTTTTTGTGGAAATGGGGAAAAAGACAAAAGTCATTATAAAAATAAGAAAAATTAGAAAAATAAGATGAATAATGAAATTGTGATTTTGCTGGCTGTATCATGGAATATATATGAAATATAAGTATTTCTTAGGCAAACAAATTTTACAGGTAAACCACAGAAAAGGTAGGAAGTATTTTAATACTACACCCACCTGGTCTTGTCAGTTTGAGTAGATTCGATTCAAGAGCATTTAGATTTTCTGCTGCTTTTTCCATTGCAGCTACCTGGGATATCTTTGCAGAACTGTTCTGGAATATCAAAGATTAATTACAAGAACTTAGCTTTCACCTAACTGAAAACAGGGGGTCAATTGTGGGAGTCAGGTTAGATTCCAAGTATTCTAATTCTAAATGCAGTGATTTAATCAATATTGTCCTTTTTTTTTGTTTTCAATTGAGTTAAAATTGATGCTCATAAATGTTTTTTTATCAAATTTTTATCAAAAAATTGAGCATAGTTCATTTTTCACCAATCTCCAATGGTGTCATTGGGTTTGCTTTGCCACCATATTTTTTTCCCACTGGCACAGCAAAAAAAAATTAGAAGTTTTTTTCTTTTTTGAAGCAAAAATACTTTGCTTCTCATAAAAATAAATGTTTTATAGATTTTAATTCCTACAAAAAACAAAATGTTTCAGAAGTAGAGAGAGTTTCTATTTTTTCGTTTTAGTAAAAATATAGTTTTCAATCAGCTCTGCTCAGAACAGGGTACAATACTAATGCTATGATCTTACACTCCTTTTCTTTCTTTGGTACAAACTTCGGAGGAGCAACCAAAAGCTCAGCTACAAAAAAAATGGAGAAAATTACTTCTCCTGGATGCTATCACTACCCCACAAGTATTACTCCAAAAATCCTTCCCTTTCAGGTGATTGATCTTTTGCCCCTCTCTTCAATCTATCTCAGTTTCACACTCACACTACTTCCCTTTTTCTTACTTATCCTACTTTCTTACTACCTTTTAAACATTTTTGAGGTTCTTGAGGTGATATTTTTGAGGTTCTTGTACACTTCTTTAATTCATCACCTGTCCAACAGAGCATTCCCGCAGACTCTAGGTGTAAATCACTTCTAGAGATGCTAGTATTGAATCCACAAGATCCTCACATGTCTGACCTGCCATATTGCTAGCCAGTTGAACCAGATGAGAACCTACACCTACTTCGATCTGCAACTGATCCTAAAAACATGGCTACAATTGCACAAAGGCCTCTCAGATACACTTTGGGAACTCTTATTCCATAAAATCACTCTAGAACAAAAAGTTAATAAATATGGTCCTTAAGCTAGTACAATGCTGTACTTAGAGGAAAGAAAAAGTGAAAATCAGAGCAATTACTTCAACTTCTGCCTTAGCGGATGTTTCTTCAGTTTTTGTAGCTCCTGACTGGTAGAATGATGTTGACAGGGAACTCAGCAATTTTTTGCCATAGTTAACAACAATTACAGCCAGTTCATATTCTTTCCATGAACGTAGCACCTGTAAAAGAATCACCTGTTATATATTTTCATTTTGCAGAGCACATAATGATTATGTTACCTACATGGATCAAAATGTATTAATATTACAGATAGAAGTTAATTACTCAACAATTAATTTCCAGTTAATAAAATAAACGCATGGCCTATAGGCCTGTATAATACCTCAAATTTCAGAAATGCTATAGAAATATTCTACTGCTGCTTAAGCACAGACTCTAGCCATCAGAGAGTAGAAGTTTCAACTAAAATTATCTATTGCTGTGATTGACAGATTCTCCCTGTCCTCATGCAGCAATGCTACCAAAGAATACAGAGGGCAACCAAATGATCCTCATTTACATCACTGGTATTGAGTGCACACATGAAATTCTCAACAGTGCTAGGGAAAGGAAATGACATTTACAAATGAACTGTGGGGGATGTTTTTAGATGGCTTAATCTTTAGACTGAACACTAAAGGCTAAAGCACTTCTAATGTATGCAAGGTAGCGTGCACTTAGAAAATCTTTGTGATTATCTGCCTTCGGGATAGAAAATATGTGTATAGATTACTTTAAGATAAATACAGTATGTGGACTGAATTTAACTTTATAGAAAGCCATACACCATGGATTAATCATAAGCATTTGCAGTTCACCAAATATACGACATTCTTTTGAAATTCTAAGTCAAAGGAGAACTAAATCAACGACACAAGCAGACAGTCATTTACCTGGGGGATCCAACAACAAACAAGCACAGTATTAAGGTATTAAGGTATTTTGGAGGAAAAATTATTGACCTTACTTGGAAAAAAACACACCTTAGAACTGACA